CAGCCTCAGTCCAATTACCTAGCTTTTGAACGTTGAAATGGATGTAGTTGATTCTGATTCGATCTATATTTTTGTTCATTGTACACCAAGGACAGACGAGGGACTCAAAGCCTGCAACAACTTGATTTACTAGTTTATACTCATCTGGTACCTCACGAGGAACTATCTACATAAGTCGGGTCTGACTCTGTTTGCTAATTTCTTTTACTCTGGAGTGGCTCAACAAAGGAATAAAACTAACTGCAGAGGTTAAATTTGCCAGACTGTTCTGGAAAGTTACAACAGTTAGGATTAAAGTCACTAAGGCCCTATTATCAGTCTGCTGTCATTTAGGTACAGCTACAGAAACACGTACAGGTTTGTTATGGTTAGGGAATTCCTAGTACAGACATAGAAGTTAGACTGATTCTTCATTTTTGCTAGATATTTTTGCATATCTGTACCACATGTTCACTTCAAATAAATCTCTTTTTTTTTTTTTATTTTATTGAGAGGGATTGCGAAGCATTCCCACTATATTTTATTCATATCTTTATTAATATTATTCTTCCACCAATTTTTTAATTTTTTATTTTTTTTGATGTACCTTTAATAAACATAAGTATAAGTGTTTATTGACAAAACAAGCATACACAAAATCCCATTGTAAACAGAATAACACAAACGCCTAGTAGCAGTTAAGCTATGGTAAAGTTCTCAGTGTCTTCACCACATGAAGCAACTGTGGTGTCCGTCTGGGTGATTCATACCCCTGCTCACTGTCTCTCAGGTTTCCTCTCTGCACATGGTCGCCTTCAGAACAGCTGAATGTGATTTTTGATTGGTTGTCACACAGGATGTGAGGACTATTGTTGTTGTCACTTCTCTTTCCTTCCTTAAGTTCATCTGAAGTTGTAAATAATGTTTTCAGTAGGTAAATTAACAGTATCAGGTTTAGCAGAAGTAAAAGATACTTAACTTCCCCATTTTCCTAAGCTCCTAAGGAATTCAACACCATCTAATCTTCACTGACATTGAGACGAACGCCCACTATAAGGACGCCCCCCTTTGAAGTCAGACTTTCCTAACTAAAACCCATATAGGTTTTTTTGCAATGGGAAAGATGTATCCAACTACTTCTTTGTTCTATTTTTACTGCTGTGGGTGTCATTAGCAGTACCTTTTTTTTTTTTATTCCTTCCACTTACTTCAACGTATTCAAAACCATTCAAACGTCAGGAGATTCCAGCTTATATTCAAAATTTTCCTAACATTCATACTTTCTGAGATATTCCAGATTTTCCAACCAATTTTTCTTATTAGAAATACATTACGGAATTTTTAAATTGGCCCTTTTCTCACATTTTCTTTACACAACTTTAAAAGCCTTCAACTCCTCTATACATTCAGATTATGATCATTTTAATTTTTCTGTTTTAAATCATTTCATTCTTCACTCAGTATTCAATTTTTTCAAACTTATTCCAACTCAATTAAACTGATTTAAACCTTTTTGAATCTTCAAATCTCATCTCTTTCGCATAATTTTTTAACTTAAAGCATTTACAATAGCAGCTTAGCAATTACAATTTTAGCTGGAGCAATCCATCTCACAATTTTCTTCAGAAATTGCATTTTCTAGTTATTATTATTTATTTATTTATTTCATTTACAAAATGAGTAGATTCGTTTTGGAATGCCAAATCAAGAAATTATTTCTCTACACAGGATTTTTGCTACTGTTAATGCATCTGGGTGGGTGACAGGAAATAATTCTATCCATTTAGTGAAAGGATCTATTAACACTGTACAGTATTTCTTTCTCTCACACTGATTTAATTCTATGAAGTCCATGTGTATGGCTTCAAATGATGCATTGGTTGGTGGAAATTTGCCTCTTTTTGGTTTTCTACTGTCTTGAGCATTATGTCTACCACAAACTGAACAAATCAAATAGTTAATTATTATTATTATTATTATTATTATTATTATTATTTTTTTTTTTTTTTTTTTTTTCAAATAATTTATGAATCAATAGGGGGTAAAGTGTTGATTAACTACTACACACATCCCTCCTGTCGAGCCATGGCAAGGCCCATGACTCGCTATTACTGCCTTTAAAGCTCTCTCTGTTTGCTGATCAGACAAAAATCTTTCGTTTGGAAAACCTAATCTGTGGTAGTTTATGTTCAAGAGCTGTTTTTTTTTTTTTTTTTTTTTTTTTTTATATACTGGAGTCACACAAAAAGTTTACAGGTAAACCATGAGTCATTAACTATATCTGCGGTTTTATGTCTGCATAATGTATTCCTTTTCCAACAAACTGTTGCAGCTCCGCTGTTGAAGGGACAGATACAGGAAATCTGTCCTGCCACAAGCTATTGCACTGTTAAATAACTCACATATGTCAGACAGGGACTCACGCCTGTCTGCTTTATAGTACTTTTTTAAAAACTCCTATCACATCAGATTACCGAGCACCTTAAATTGTCTGTATATCTATCATCCCATCTGTAATATTTCGTATTTCATATTTATCACTCATTTCATATTTATTACTCATTTCATATTTAATACTAGTTTCAATAGTCCACGTTCTTCATATCTCACTTTTATCTCTTAGGATGATTAGCATATTTAGCCTATATTTATTGTATATACTTAGTATTTTTATTATTTTTATTCTGCATTGTACTTCTTCTTATATTTAATTTTATATTTTCTTTTTGCTGCTATAACAAGAGAATTTCCCAGTTTGGGATCAATAAAGTATATTTATCTGTCTATCTATCAAAAACATATATATATTTATTTATCTTCTTCAAGTATAGCACTTCTTCCTCCTCTGTCTCTTCTCTGTTCACACTTTCTCTTCATTTCTGTTGAATAACACTTGCTGTCTCTCCCTCTTTTACTCATGCTTGATACTTTTTTCTACAGCTCTTCACCTTGTGACCAAAGCTCTGCAATTCTCTGATGTTGTGGTTCACGACCTTGGTCAGGGTACTATTCTTCACCTCTCAGCTCCTGTGATTCATTAACTTTTGTCAAAACTTCTACTTCCTCTATCGCCTTCTCTATTGAAATTCCTGCCTCTGAACCTGCTTCTTCCTTGTTCTCTCTGTCATAGTCATCAAATGGTTTATCATCTCTCCTATTATCCCATAGTCGTCCTATTTATCTCATATAGTATAAAATTCATTGTCACATTTGGAGTTAATCTTACGTTAAATGGTATTATAGGGAGGGCTTTAATTCCAAGTTAGCTTTGCTGTTCTCTGCACTTTACTATGGTTACTTCTTTAAGTTCCAATAAGGTATAATATCAATCAGTTGGTTCACATGTTTAACAGGGATGCCAGCTGAGGTCAGAAAACCTCTTCTTCTCCAGTGACACGTCTACATGTACAACTTATACTTCATAGACTGTAACAGTTTTGTCACAGTTTTGTCTTTTAATAGCTACATGCTTCTGCATAGGGAGGGATTCTTTGGCTGCTGTGTCTCTGGAGGAGTCAAGGTCGTAACTGAATTTAACTTGCTAAAAATTTGCAGTCTGCATTAAACCTTTCTGCCTTTTTAACTGCCTTTTCTACCTTTTATTTCTGCATTATTATCATTATTATTATTAAAGTTTTCTTTACTTATAGCTTTTGATCTCGTCCTGACTGCTCACGCCTTCCTCCCTTTGATTTGTTTATGCAATTGCGGGCTATATGTCCCTCTTTCCCACATGACCAGCACCCTGTTCCTGTCAGGTCCGCTCCTTTCAGTCTGGACCACCTCTGCCCTCCACCTCTAAATCCTCCTCTGCCTCTGCCTCTAAATCTGCTTCTTGCATTTTGATAAAAGGCTTCATTTTCATTGTCCCCTTCTGCAAAAAATGCACTAGCTCCATTTATTCTTTCTTTTTTTTGTCCTCCTTTCTCCATCCTCTCTGGCTTTTGCTACTTTTTTCCATTCATCAATCATTTGACACCCATATTTTATGCTTATGGAGTCATGTAGTTTATTTAATTGGCTTGTTCTTAGGCTGCCATCGAATCCAAATTTAGTTACCCATAATTCGAGGAATTGTAATTTTTCGGGCTCTGTCTGGAAAACTTTCCAGTCTTGACTTTTTAGTTTATCTAATTTAGCCTTACTGGCTCCCGTCCCCATTTTTATGTGTTTTGGTCCAGCTTAGGTGACACCTAGGGTGTCCTATTAAGCTGGGTTCTTTCAATGGGGTAGTGAAAAAAAAATTTTCCTTATGTGGTAATTCTCGCTTCTACTCTTGCGAGTGGAGAATTCTTGCCTTTGCTTCCACAATAAGGTCACTACTTACAATCCCACTGTTTTGGTATGAATAGGATATATCTAGTGATATATGCCTATTCCAATCACTCTCACACTTTCACAATCACACTTTTAACACGTGTTTTGTTCTGCAGAATTTTCTCAATTACGCCTTTTCCCTAAGGATTTCTAGGACCCGCGCGTTCTTTTTTTTTTAACGGCTTTGTAGGACCCGTGCGTCCTTGAATTAAAATTTTCCAATTTGGACTCTACCGTCCTTTTTTTCACGGATTTGTAGGACCCGTACGTCCTTTTCCACGGTTTTTTCTACGTAGGACCCGTGCGTCCTTTTCCAGCAGATTTGTAGGACCCGTACGTCCTTTTTAACGGATTTGTAGGACCTGCACGTCCTTATGTTTGTTTGGTCTTTTATAGATTCTCTACGCGAAGCGAATCTCAATCATTCCACGTTCCTTTTTATAAGAGACCAACTCACCACTTGTCTTTCCCCTTGGCTTCGGATTTCCGTCAACCGTCGGATCCCAGCAGGCAGGTCGAGTCCAGTTCCTCAAAGAGGTCTTCAAGACTCATCCTAAAGAGTCTGCCGTGGCCACGGTCTATCTGTCGTCCACCTCACCCGCTGGAATCGTCTGGTCTATTGGAATCCGGCTCGAAGGACCAAAGAAATGTTAGGTTTAAGACCTGCTTGCATTTACCTGAAATAAAAGGAGAAAGACAATGGATTAAGTTTGAGTAATGGACAGAGATATGTTTTGGATATCTCAGTACCACACTAAGGATACTTTTCTCTGTCCGCCCCTTTTATTTACAGTTGTCCCTGGTTACACAATGTTTCTAAAAATGTGGGAGTAAATGTGCTGCAAAGTAAGCATTTAATAATGAACAATTTGTGAATAGCTGAAGGTCAAGGCGGCATCAAACGAGCTCCTTCTGATAAGGATGGATCCTTCTCAGGAGTTCCCACGATTCATTTTCGGAGAATACGTCACCCCCACATCCACACCTGCTGATAGCGGAAACACGGTCATAGAACACAGAAGAAAACATTGTGTACTGTGTAGTAAAGCTAAAGAAAAGAGAGAAGTTAGGAAAACTCTTATATGATAAAAATACTCTAATATAATGTATAAAAAGATGTCAAAGAGTTTATATTTGTAGTATAAACTCTTACATAAGAATATGAGGAATAATGATAACTTCTATATACATTTATGCACATTATTCTAACACTTACTCATCCTCCAATCAGCTCTCCTCACTCTACCCTTAAAATCATATCAGTCTGTGTTCATCTGTTGTCAAAATCTTAGTGCTGTTATTTATAAAAGATGGATGCAGAGTAAAATAAACCAAAAGTCACTCGCAGTGTTGATATTTTCAAACCCTGCTCCCGTCTGCTGTCACTCACAGGTTGTTATTTACAGGTGTCTGAATGGTCGGTGGGTGTATCTGCTTTCCAATCGCATATTTACATGATAATTAGTTGAAGTGGTACGTCAGCCTCGTTGAGTAGCAGTGACGCTTTTATGCAAATGAAGTTCAGGAGGAGTTTAGTCGTATTCGCATTCAGCCGCAGGATTCTGGAAACGGACAAAAGCGTCAAAACCAGACTCATGTTCGGTTCAGAAAGTGAAATACAAAACAGAAATTTGTTGGTGTAACAGTAACAAAGGAGTGAGTAACAAACTGAATTCTGGATTTGGTGTTTCTCCTCCTAAATACGAAACGTTTGGATGATTTAATCTTGAGTGTGATACTTCAGCTGTGGAGATGGACATGTCCTGAGTGAGGGCGGTTCTGCCTTTTTCCTGGCAGTCCTTGCAGGTTTGGATCAGTCACCGAACGAGACAGGAACAGACTACAGACGTTGATTGATGTGTGCAGAACAGACGGGATCTCTGAGGAGTAGAATTAGATCAGCAGCTCCTCAGGCAGGTTGAACTTCCTGAGCTGCTGCACAGAGTACATCTTCTTCTGGCCATTTTTGATCATTACGCTGATGTCGCACGCCCACTTTGACAGAAACTGCAGCACCGTGTCGACGGCTGTAAAGAGGGACGGTGAAGTGTACAGTGAGGAGTCGGCTCGGCTGCAGGTAGTCATGATACATCTCTAATTCGTATGAGAACTCGAGGAGAAGATTTTCTCAGACCTCCTTTGATAATCCTCTCCTTGGATGAGCTGAATGCTGCAGATGAATGTTGAAATAACCCGAGAATAGAGGTACAGTCAGCGTCTGAGAGTGTGTGTGTGTGTGTGTGTGTGTGTGTCTCTTGGCTGCAGGGCTGTGCCACCCACTGATCCTCTCCCCCTCCCCTCAAAACCATCAGCAAGCAGCTCTTTGATCAACTTGTCAAGTGTCTGGCACCAACAAACCCACCGCTTACAACACCCCGGCACTTGGGACCAAACATGTGTTCCTGTGCCAGCGTAGAGACGGTGTTTTTATTTCCCAGGGTGCAGAAAAACGGGTCCCCAAGCCCGGGGAACACCGTCGTCAAACCGATACTCCAGGATGGATGGATTCAGGTTTTAGGCTTCACTCTTTTCCTTCGACTAAAGTATCTGAATGATCCAGGTTATTCCCTGTCAGTCAGCTGGTTAAACTCAGGAGAAACATCTTTCAAAGCCGATCGGACCTTTTTGTTTCGTGTCTCTGTGGTCCGAGAGTTCCTGAAATTACCCGGATGAGCTGTTAGTATGAGCAGAAACATCCCGACCTCATCTGGAACATTTCCTGCTCGTCCCTCAGTGTCATTGGAGGCTAAAGTCTGGATGAGTGTCGATGGGAGTGCAGGCTGGGTATGTTGATGTTTATCACATGACCAGTGTCCGTCCAGCTTCTTGGACGCCATGATAAGCTTCGTGAAACCGCCCCACGCCTGCCTTTGACAGGGGAGACGGTCAGGTTAGTGTTTCCCTTAGCTATTTCGCTTTGGCGAAGATGAGCCAGCGCTGTTTTCAGGGCTGGGAGAGATGCCAGCATCCATAAGAGACCGCGCGAATACAGATATTTTCAACTGGGGTGCTGAACGTTCGGGGACAGTTTGGTTCTCCATGACCAGATTTTTATTGTTTTGTTGGTGGCAAACGTGATGGAAAGGAGCCAGAACCCCGCGTGGTCAAAACCATCCTGCGCAAATCTGGCAGGGTATAAGCGGCAAGCGCTTGCGACCAGAATCAGTGGTGCTGACATGTCGCGCCGCGTAGTTTAGAGGCGCGGCATGTCAGCACGCATGTTTGTTGTGAGATAAAGAGGAGCGAGCGGAGAGATACATTTTTCTTGAAAGTAATGAAATGATTGGGAGCTTTAGAGTTTGAAATTGTGCAAATTATACTTTTGTAGGCCATTTTTATAAAAAATAAAACATTTATCTATGACTTAAGTTTCTGGGTTGGGATCTCGTTTTCAGGGCGAGGGTATCCCTGCAGGTGAAGTTTGGAGGAATTTCTTATCATGCATGTCAAGATTGAGAACAACTTTGATTGCTCTGTCGTCTATCCTGTAGACCTACGGTGTAGCCTACCTGTCGCTGCTGCACTAAGTCTTCTAGATAACATGCAAATTGATGTGCTATTTTCAAAGTTTTCAGGTGTTTCTGTAGGTTTAGATGTTTTTCACCTTTTTCTAATCTGGACACCCTGTTATAAAGAAAAGCTCCATCCACACGTGACTCTGATTTCACTTGAAAATATTAAAACGCATAATTTAGACAAAGGGTTTACAAAAGTCTCACCTGAGCCACACCTGCGCGTCGTATTGACTCCTCTTGCGTTAAAATAAACAGTTTTTATCAGGTTGTCTCGCTGTCGTGAACACTCGGTTTTTTTAATGGCTGCTCGGTGTGACTCTCCGCTTTAAGGACACACATTTTCATTATTCTGAGACAGATTTACAGAGGCGTTAAAATGCCGAGGATCCCACTGCATCATCCACACCAGAAATCAGGCCGCAAACCTCTCGAGCATAAACCGATAAATCTGTGCACGGTTGGAGCGAGGCATAATTTCTTCACTCTGCGGATCAATGAAGCAAATCTTGATCTGAAAGTTGTTCTTCGCAGAGTTAGTTTGTTTACAGAGCGTCAGAGGCCACCCGGACGAATTATTTTAGATCCTCTGGGGACAAAGCTGCTCTTCTACATGCCTCAGTGAGCCAAAGCTCTCTGCGGATTAACCTCTGAAACCAGGACCCCTCTACTTTATGAAGTATGTGCTTTAAAACTCAGACAGGCAGAAAATGATTTAAAAATATCCGTATGAAGAACAAACAAACAAACGAACCCAAAACGCTTTGAGTCAGCTGTTCATGTTGACTGTGCCGCTGTGTTCCAGTTTGTGCTCACGTCTCTTCTTCTGTTCTTGTCCGTCCTCCCGCAGTTTACCAAAGGTTGTAAAGAGACGTGTGAACGCCCTCAAGAACCTGCAGGTCAAATGTGCGCACATCGAGGCCAAGTTCTACGAAGAAGTACACGAGCTGGAGAGAAAGTACGCCGCCCTCTACCAGCCCCTCTTCGACAAAGTACGTCTGTGTCTTTGTTGTCGTCTTTGTGAAATCGCATTTCTGTTGTTTCTGTGCAGTTTTTTTTCTTCATGTAGGAGATTTCAGTGCAGCATGAAACAAAACCTTTTTAAAGATTCGTCCTCTACTGTACGTCACGTGTCATTTATGCATCCTTCCTCATTCTGATTCCCTGAGCGGGCGGCCATTTTTAAGCTCTCATGTGCCGCTTTAATGCACCCAAAACAGTCTCTCTCTCTCTCTCTCTCTCTCTCTCCCTCCCTCCCTCCAACCCCAGCATTTTAAATCAACTCATGTAAAGCAGACGTCTCTGTTCACACATGCTCTGTAGCTGTAAAATTTGTTTAATTGATTGGATCCAGGAATGTTTCTTATTGCAGATCGACCCGTCGTTAGAATATCCCATTAATTAGATGATTCCTAGAGAGGCAGCACACACCCCTGCTGCTTCCACTTTTCAAAACAATCTCAATTCAAGAGGCTCTAGAAATGTTTCTGCTAATGCTAAGTCACTCCCTCTTTTGCATTCTCCCAGACGTTTTCCTCAGTTTAATCTTATGGAGCTATCATGCGATACTTCCGCTTCTTTTCTCATTTCAAAATAAAAGCACGTCTTTCAAAATAAGGCAAAAAACAGCTGCATTTACAAGCGGTTTAGTGGATGAAGGTAAGGCTCAGGAATGTCCAAGTTTTAAAAAAATAAACACTTGTATATGTTCAAACCATAGACTGTATATAGGATAGACGCCGTCTGCCTCCTCTCTGGGTGAAGCCACTCCGAGAACAGCACCCTCTGTTGACGGGCTGCAGTACAGGTCATAAATCCCGCCTCCGCCAGCAAAGCTTATGGAGATGTGGACAAACTTTAGAAATTTATTACACAGAACATTTTTTCTCCCCCCTGCTTGTGATGTTGACATGTAGTTACTGTCAGACTGGTTTGTGCTCAAGTCCTCTTTTTCTGTGAAGCTCCGTTTTTAAAAGTTATTAGGGGGTTCATGTTTTCTATGATTGACACTTGATACAGCCAATGGGCGTTCAGGGATTGCGTAGCTCACCCGGGGGGATACGCTGTTTGAGCTGAGCGTCATCACAGCGACTCTCCCGCGGAATGCGTACATCGCTACTGCGCAACGCTGGTATCAGGAAACGAAGAAAAATCCCGTAAATACCGAGAGCTTTTTGGCTTCAAATCTGTATACTGGCGGGAGGCGGAACCAAGTTGTTCATAGTATATACAGTCTATTGTTAAAGTACAAACGTGCAAATTATTCACACATTTTTAAAAAAAAATTTATTGACACAAAAATATAAAGTTTTACTGCTAATGAATGTCGCTTCCAAATATCAGTTATCGATTTCCTCGATTACTAATAATCGATATCAGACAAAAAAAAGAAACATATTTGTCGATCCTTACTAGAAGTTGTCCTCAGTTTAGGACGGCTGACGTCAGTGATCGGGGTGAGATAAATCGATTAAAAATGATCCGATCTGATAGTTGAGATCAGGGTTGAGTTTTCTGATTCAAATATTGAAGAAACTGCATCGGTAAGAATCAACTCAGAGTGACGAAATAAAACTTTCAGATGCCTGGGTCAGTTTCATATGTCGAGTCATGACTTTCTCCAAAGTGATCAATCGCCAGTGAATCTTGATGCACCCGTCGAGGAGTGGATTAACCTGTTTTAAAATCTGTGTACACTGGTGACCCGTCTGCAGCACCGAAGCTTTTTTTGTTGTCATGTAAACAAACTCACCCGTCACCTGAGAAACTCGACGCCCGACCGGAGTCACATTTAGTCCTAGAAAACTTTTTAAATAATGATCTTTTTCTCTTGTTTTTGCAGAGAAGCGACATAGTGAAAGCAGCGTACGAGCCCACAGATGAGGAGTGTGAATGGAAGGCAGATGAAGAGGAAGAGCTGACAGTAAGTAAGCAGGTACAGGTGACGTATACACCTGCATGCTTCCCGTCTGACTCCTCACTTTCCTCTTCCTTCTCTCAGATTTCATGCATGTTTCTTTTTAGTTTCAGCTCCTAAATATCATGTAACTCATTCAGACACGGGTTCAAGCTCTTTCCATCACTGTCACAGACTTTAGATTGACTATCGGGTGGATTTTCAGTTTTATTTTTCCTCCTGTTTAATCCCAAATCCTCCGTCCCGTCTTTGTGGGTCTGCATGGTGAAAAGCTCTGGTGATGTGTGCGGAGAGAAACTGTGGAGCAAGCGTTATTTTGAAGAGAAAATGTCTCCCCCTGAACAGGATGAGATGAAGGAGAAGGCCAAGCTAGAGGAGGAGAAGAAAGACGAGGAGAAGGAAGATCCCAAAGGCATCCCCGAGTTCTGGTTAACGGTTTTCAAAAACGTGGACCTGCTCAGCGACATGCTGCAGGTCGGTGGAAAATAGGTCACACACATAAACGGCGTTTGCTCACAGAGATGAAAAATCAGGGTTTGCCTCCACCTGCTGGTGAAAAGAGGAACAGTCGTTTTCTAATCATGTTCTCTTTTTTTCCTCAGGAACACGATGAACCCATCCTTAAACATTTACAAGATATTAAAGTAAAATTCTCAGATCCAGGACAGCCGATGGTGAGTCTGCAAAAACCACTCTCCATGTTAAATCGGTGAAATCGGTCCCACTCCCTCCCTAACTCTTGTGGTCTTCTCCTCCTCAGAGCTTCACGTTAGAGTTCCACTTTGAGCCCAACGACTTCTTCACAAACACAGTGTTGACGAAAACCTACAAGATGAGGTCAGAGCCCGACGAGAGCGACCCCTTCTCCTTTGACGGACCAGAGATCATGTCCTGCACAGGGTGGGTGCTCCTTGTACCTTTGAGGAAGGGACTGAAGATTATTTACCCGTCTGAATCGTCTTTTCTCTTATTTAACCCTCGTTCCTGTCAATTTTGAGCTCTATCCAGCCTACTTTGTCCCCAAAACAGACATGCAGAGAATCGTACATAAAAAAATTTCTTAACTGTTTTCTTTTACTTTTTTCGACTCATTCCTCTTAAACAACTTCAGCCCTAACTATTAAGAAAGTAATTCGCAAAAAACTTGATGTATCACCCTTTTCATGCCAGTTTTTTTGCGCTATGTTATAAGACTTGTATTTATTAATAAAGTGTGCTTTCTATACAGGTGTGTCTGTCGGAGCAGTAAAACTCGCCAATTTCACCTCCTTTTCTCGAGCGTCGTCCTCAGCCTTGTTCCTCGTCCCTGTTCATAACAAATTAATTATAAATATAGACAAATAAATTCAGAACATATATATAAAAGATGAGAATCATTTATAAGTGTTTATCCACCTCTATCCAAGATATGACCACGATCACGCTGATTGCGCTCATATAAAAAATAACTGCACATTTGAGATGTGATATCTTCCCATGTAATGATCTGAAGGACCTGTTCATCCTCATGCATGTCCATCCACCAGCTCTGAAGTGAGGGCAAAGGTGAAATCGTCCAAATGTCCCCCTCTCTTTGTCCAACACTGCGCCTCAAACACTCTCAGTCCATGATTGAAGACTTATATGCCAGCTCAATCTGTTGTATCGCTGTGGGAAAGTCAAATTTAGAGCCCTGCTGATCGACTGCCTGCAAGAAGAAGGTTGTAATAAGTTGTTTTGGTGCCATAAACACACAGTCAAATAATGCGTTTTTAATGGAAGTCTATTCCAAGGGGTGGATGGAGCTAAAATGCGGCGACGGAGAACTACAGGTGACATTTTTTTTTTTTATAATATGAAGAAAAATAAGATCTCTCACTAAATTTGACGCCCCAATCTTTAAAAGTGTGACTCTCAGCTCAAAATAAAGACGACAAAAATGACAAATGTCCTCAAAACGGACATATAAGGAACGGAGGGTTAATCACTTCGTTGTCCTGCTGTTAAAGATCAGAAATGGTCTCATTCAGCGTAAATCTGTCAGGACGGGGTCAAAGTTGAACACACCTTTCCGTCCCATCTGTCACATTTTGATAATCTCTCCCTGCATCATCATTAATAAACCCTCTTCAGTATCTCGCCTGCTTTTTTCCCTCTGAATCATCTCTGAGTGGAAATCGATGACCTTTTCTGCTGCTCTCTTCATAAATAAACCCGAGCTGTCATTTAAAATGTTCGAAAACTGACCTCGCTCTCTTTCTCTCACCGCCGCCGCCCCCTCATGTTTCACAACAGTTGCACGATCGACTGGACGAAGGGCAAGAACGTCACGTTGAAAACAATCAAGAAGAAGCAGAAGCACAAGGGCCGTGGCACAGTGAGGACGGTCACCAAAACGGTCCCCAACGACTCCTTCTTCAACTTCTTCACCCCGCCAGAGGGTGAGGGCGATCAAACCACAGTCATTCATTCATTCATTCATTCATCCAAACAGCTGTCTGTGTCTGTCACACTAACCCCAATTATCTCCTCTTGTTTACAGTTCCAGAAAACGGAGAGTTGGTAAGTCACTGCGCTTTCAAACATGCATTTCAATCTTTAATTAGCTCATTAATTAGTCAAAGGAAGCAAACGTTTCGCTCCCTCGGTTATCTTTCACTTGTTTGTTTGCAGCTGTTGGTTTTATCCTGCAAAGTTTTCACTCCGACACACTTTCACTCTTCGTACTTGGACAAGTCTGATCAGTCTGACTCGACGTGTAACGAACCGCGAGGAGCAAAAAAATGAACCTGAGGATGAAATCATTTTGTTTTCTTCTGTTTGGTCCCACGTAAACCGTCTTGTTGTCCTCCTGAATACTCGCTACAGGACCACAATGATTTTTGCGTATTCAAATAGTCGTTAACATTCAGAAAAATCTAATAGTTAATGCGACGATGGTTTTGTTTCTTAAAAAAAAAAAAGTTTCCGGCACCTTCAAATAACGGGGTAACACTAAAAGTCGCTCCAGTTAACGCTGCAAATCATACAAACAGCAGAAACATGCAGGGACTCAAAACAGAAATGAAGTGCAGTGCAAACTCTGCAAGGTCACGAATCGACAAGTATGCACAGACATTTGAGAGCGAGGCACGCAGCAGAACGTGGGGCGCTGTCCGCACATCAGCAGTCAAAGGCGAGCTTCGTCACCCGAAGACTTAAGTTTGATTGACGCCCACAGCAAATAACGATCTTTTAATGATGTTCGAATAGTTACCAGCGAATATCGAAGAGCAGTATGGCTCGAAACGCCCGGCCCGTCCAATCACAACACTGTTTTTATGTGTGCACAGTTGGCAGCAGCAGGGTGGCTGGCTACCATTAGTTACTATGGTAACCAGGATGTTCTGTCTCTGAATCTTTTAACTCTTCACTCAGAAAAGGAGGTTCATATTGATCCTGAACTCTTTCATACATGAGTTATGAGCTCTTCAGAGAAGATTTTTTGTGTTTTTATCCCTTTTTAGGCAAATAAAAAAAATGATGCAATTGAATTTTTTTCAGGAACCCATTTTTCACGGAGTTACAAAAATGGCCAGACAGCTGGACACCTGCTGTTGAGTTTTTTAAACAATTAAATATGAATCAAACAAACAAATGCCCAAAAATCATAATCTGTTAAAACTGTTTAGAGGAGCTAATTTGATGTCTTCTTAGATTTTAATAAACTCTAACACATATTCAAAGCAATGCAAAAATGTCGAAATTAGTGCCGAACTTATAAACTGCAGATTTCTGAGAAAGCGACACAGTCTTCAGTATTTCTGCTTTTTTACCACCTCTGTTCAGTCTGACTCTAACTTTAAAGATATGGAAAAAAACGTACAGGTCTCGAACCAGAACTGAACTAAAGCTACAACAACAAAATCCACACATACACTAAAGAACACCTTTTGAATATCTGTCCATTGTAGTGACCAATATGAATGAAAGGGTTGAATACTTTAATACATAAAGGTATATATACAGTACTTGGTTAAAGTTGTTAAAAGCATCAGATAGTAAAAATAATAAGAGAAATTGAGCTGATTTAATCCAGCAGTTTATTGATGTATTAGGATTTGTTAATTTCTCCTGGTTTGATTAACCGCTGCAGAAGAATTCACCAAACTAAAAAAACAGAGTCTCCGTGAAAGGAAAGTCCACATCCCCAGGTGTTTTGATCCGCTACAGGTTGAAACCAGCTCTTAAAAAGTGCTCACTGATAACTCAATATATAACATCAAGATTAAACTGTAAGTGACCTGTTTGTGTCCAGGATGAGGACTCGGAGGCGGTCCTGGCTGCGGACTTTGAAATCGGCCACTTCATCCGTGAGCGGATCGTTCCTCGAGCCGTGCTCTACTTCACAGGAGAGGCCATCGAGGACGACGACGATGATGTGAGTGTTAAGGTCCTGCTCCAGTAAACAAGGCTGTTTGGAGGATTCAAATGCAAACCCTCTTTAAGTTTCTTATCCTGCTGAGAGTCGAAGGAACTTTCTGATAATAATTAAGAAAAGAAAGTTTCTTTGGCTTCTTTGTCGCTGAGATGTTTATCACCTGCTTTAAAGGAGGATTCCCTGTTTTTTTTAAAGCTGTTTGATTACCAATTTGTCCTTGAATCAAATGAATCCCGTCTCGTTTGGAGTATTTCCTCGTTCATCTTCATGTTTGTGTTTTGCAGTATGATGAAGAGGGAGAGGAAGCCGATGATGAGGTAAGACTATTAACAGCTACAGAACTCACACAACATGCAGGAGATCGATGGCGACAGATACAGAGATAATGGCGTTAACCCTTTCAGCTCCACGAAAGGAAAGATGAACCAAGAAGCTACGCAGATAAATAATTCATAATAATCTGAAGGAGGAGCTCAAGATGTCCTCCAAAAACGAATGTTTGTGAAGAGTTTGTTGCTTCATCGTGGAAAGAGGAAACTAAACAGGATCCAAAAATAAGGAGAACTTTGTAATAAAACTGGACTGTGTTTTTGGAAATCATGGACTTCCTCGTAAGACTGATTCTTTGCAGAAAGTCTGAGGGTTCAAACTCTCTCTGTTGTCGTCGGTCTGAAGTGTCTCTGTGCTGCGTTTGCAGGAAGGCGAGGAGGAGGCTGATGAGGAGAACGACGCCGACTATGATCCCAAGGTGAGATCACCTCTCAGAACACACACACACACACACACACACACATTCACAGCCCCTCCCCCTCTAAAGATCTCAGGTGTCTTAGTAAAGACCTGACTCAGCTCTTCTCTACTTTGTTGACTCAGGACGCTCTCGCTCTCTCTCTCTTTCTCTCTCTTTCTCTCTCTCTCTCTCTCTCTCTCTCTCTCTCTCTCTCTCTCTCTAAAGTAAAGCAGCTCCTCTTAAGGTCGAGTCGAACTAAACTTACAAACTTTTCTCACACTCTGAGTTTCTGAGCGGCAGGTAGAGAACAGCTGTCTTTTAAATGATTCGACAAGATTTCAACATACAGAATACATACTGTCAAATGCATCTCATTTTACTCCAGCTTTGGTTTGCTTCAGCTTTTATTTTAACGTCCTGATCCTGATCCTGATCCTGATCCGGCCTCCGGAGCAAAACGAAACAAAAGGCCCTGACCTGTGATTCTGCTGCATGTTGTTACTAAAACTTCAACCTGAACCTCCAGCCGACATAAAACACAGATCCTGTCAACTAAAGGCTACACCCACACTGATATGTTTTTGTTTCAAACCCGTAACTTCTCTAACAGTAAACTTTGTCTGCTGCTGACACTAATAAAATTTGGGTTTAGTCTTAAAAGGCGACACTCGTTGGTTTATTAAGAGGCTGAATGAGGCCCAGCGATGGTGGTCAGCTGCTCTAACCGAACTTTAAATCTACATAAAATCAGACGAAGAGATTAAATTTTTTGTACCGGGCTGCAGAAAAGTGTGTCCAAATTAGGGCTGGGCGATATGTCCTCAAATCAATATCATGATATATTGATCAGTTCACCTTGATATCGATAAATGGACGATAACTACTCCACAAGCTGCTCACCCCCTCCCACATTAACTTCGTCTACTTCAGCCGCCGCTTGAGTATCGAGAACCGGTTCCAGTTTCGACCTTTGATTTAAAATTCAGAGATTTTTTAGTTAGTTAAACTCCGAACATCAAAGTTCTCCCTGAAGTTTAGTCCTGATGGATTTATGTTGAAGTTCTGATAAATTTGACTTATCTGTCAGGACCTCGATCACTTGAGACGAAAACAAAGCTTTGAGGAGAGGAGTAGGGCTGGGCGATACGGCCTCAAATCATTACCAGGATGTATTGATCAGTTCACCTCGATAACGATAAACGGACGATAACTACTCCACAAGCTGCTCACCCCCTCCCACATTAACTTCGTCTACAACTTTTGAACCGTCCTCCATCTCCTCACCTGTCTTTCCCTCTTTGTTACGGGGTTTGGGGTGGAGTCACATCTCTGACGGCGTCTTAAAGGGACATGAGACCATAGCCTACCTACACACATCCAAAACCAAATTTCTGCAGACGTCTATAATCCTAATTCAGAGCAAGTCGGTTGAACTCTCGCCATGCTCAGTGAAGTTAAAACATGTCAGTGTGATGCCGCTGCACGTACCGGTTCAGAGTTTCTTTTCTCAAAGTTTTTTTTTCTTCTTCTTCTTCTTCTGCCAGACTGGAGCAGCTTTGACAGTTTGACACTCCACCATAAAAAACAAGCATGACCTTCGCTTCTTCGCTGAATAAAAAAGAGGGAAAAAAAAAAACGCCTTTGACATTCTGTATTCTGCTAGTTTTTTGCTTATTTTTTATTTTTATTTTCTCCTATTCATTAATGTTTCTTCATCTCCGGTCACTTTGGCATCTTTTGTCAGCGACTCTTTAAATTTTTCCTCACTAGGTTTAAATGGTGACTGTAGAAAAATAACCCTATCCTGGTAGGTACAGCTTGTGACTTTGTCAGCTTACTACCATCACACCTTCACCCTCCTTTTCCTCCTCTTCTTGTTTTCCCATCCCTCCATCCTCCTTTCTGCACCTCCCGCCCTTCACATCCTCATCCTCCTCCTCCTCCTCCGCCGCCGTGCTGCACCTTTTCCCAGTTACTAACCTTCTGGTTTGTTGTTGGTTTTTGCAGTTTAACCCATAGTGAGTTTTTTGCATTTGCACCTGTATTTTTTCTGTATGTTGAAGCTAGTCCGACCTTCCCTTTTTTCTTTTTGTCTCCATGTTAGAAAAACACAAAAACTCGGGTTAGTTTTGATCAGATTTGTCAGGATAAGCATTGAAATCTGTGCTTTTATTTCATGGATGTTTGTTTTAAAACCCATCTGAACATTATTCGTCCATGAGTTTGATCCTCCTTCCTGTTGACATTAGTCCTTTTGAGCCGCCTAGATCTTCATCTAGTGTTTTAAATAAACCCTAAACTAAATTTATCCGATCACTGAAATAGAATAAAAGCTGAGGAGGAGTTTGTCGAACCTCCCCTGGGTGCAGTCATTGTCAGCAGTAACATATTTTTATAGATTTCATTGGAAACTTCACAGGAAGTCTTTGCAGACATTTTGGTGAGAAATCGTGTCTCGCACAGGAAACTATTTTTAGCCCAACTTGTCGCACGATGACTGAAATGATCTTAACGCTGCTCAGTCAGTGTGCCATCACCTCCACAAGTGTCTAATGTCTCCTGGAAGGACGCCCCCACCCCCTCCACCCCCAGTATGACGGGCTGCGAATGATCTCTGTGCTCTCCTCATCCTTTTATTGACTCCACTCTTTTCTTTGTTTTTGGCAGATAATTGGTTTTAGCACAATAGTCTGAGGTTTCCGTTTTGTTTTCCTGTAACTGCAGCTTGATATTAAACACAACAAGTCAGCGAGAAATAAAATAAAGACGGGGCAGAAAGAGGAAGATCTAAAAAGTCTGGGTTTTCCCCGGTTTGGATGAATTGATTTGACATTTTGGGAAATACACTTGACTGATTCGCTGCACAGAGTTGGACCATGAGATCAGTACCAATCATGATTTAGTGTGTAATCTGATGATTACGAAAGGATTAGGGCCACAAGAAGAGAGAAAATAATAACAGGAGAGAGACTTTTTAAATTTACATTTCGAGATTAAAGTCGAAACTTCAAAAAGTCAAAATGAAAAAATAGAAGTTTTGAGATAAAAGTCCTTAAAGTTTGTCTGTTTTTTTGTTTTCTTCTGTAGAGTCGTCATCTTTGACAGTCTTTTCAGAGTCCGAATAGTTATGACCACACTCTGTTTGTGCGCTAAAAGAGCAAGGATTTCCCTGTTCCTAAATCCAATTCTAAAGTATTTACAAACTCGAAATTTCAGCATTATTTACGTCATTTTGCAATCTCTAAATTTCCACTTGATTCATGTCGGCGTTAATCTTAAAATTTTACATTTTTAAATCTCTTTGACTTTGACTTTGACATTATTCACCACATTTTGTAATCTTAAAATAAAGACTTTAATCTCAAAATTTAAATTCTTAATCTCGAAATTTTCACTTTATTGAGATAATTTTGTTTTTCTTTTTGTTTCATAATTTAGACTCATCTCTAAATTTAAAATTTTAATCTAGACATTTTGACTTTAACCCCAAAATTCTTGTGGATCCTCTTTCGTAGATGATGGAGTCGGACGCTGCTTTCCTTTACGAAAACAAAGATTGTTGGAAAACATGCAGCAGTTTCTTAGCAGATGTTTAAGTTTATCACCAAATAAGGGAAAAGGTGTCAAAGGGATGCTGTCACTCGTTGAAGCAGAGCGCCATCTTCAGGGTAAAATAGTGTAACACAGAAAAACACCTGCATGTTAAAGAGGTGCATCAGTTGGCTCGCTTTTTAGATGATGAATACTTCACACAAATTTTGTTTTATGGCGTGTATCAAAGCGTATGGTGGTGTTGCTAACAGCTTAATACTTATCCAGTATTTTTCTGACATTATGCAGGATTAATTTAGTCCTGAAGAAGGTTCGCTTACCGCCCCAAATCATCCTCTGTTTGCTCTTTTATTCTGCAAATTTGTACCTAAGCTCTGCCATCACACCTCTGTACCTTGAGCTGTGTATTCGGGCTTTTACATCTTATTTGACAGAGCAGGACATCAGAGGTGATAGTTGGAAAAAGGAGGCTGTAGGCTGGAATCCAAACCTGGACCAGCTTTTGTGCACTGGGCCTGCAACTTAACCACGAGGCCAAACTACCGCTCTACGCTTTTGGACTTTTATGCTGATTCTGCTGCAGATTTAACATTACGGCGTTGTAGAAGCGCAAGAGGTGTTTGGATCCACCTGCCACAAAAACTTCTGCAGCTACGTCTCGAAGGAGTAATAGAGGTGTAAACATTGAGCACTTCTAAATTATGGGAATTAGATTTTTTAGGAAAGCACTAAAAGTCGCAGCCAAACTCTTTTTAATCCTAGACTCTGCAGATTTATTCCAACGATCAGTTTGAAGCAAGCGGATTTCCCAAAATGTCAGAACCGTAAAAGTTGAGGAAACAGAAAAAGGTCTACTGTGCGAACACACTCCTGTAATCATCACCTCGATGAGGATGCAAACATGACATCCCACAGTTGTCGTAGTTTGATCCGAGTGCGTCACACCCCCCGCACTCACATCTGTGAACGATGTCGCTCGTGTTCAAAGTCGTCTGAGAACTTTTCAGATGTGTAGATTCTGTCGCAGCTTTGTACATGTTGCTTCTGGTCTCGTCTGCGTGTCTCCGGTCTAATGGAAAACCCCCCCATCCTCCCCGTCCTCCTCTGTGGTCTCTTGCAGAAGGATGCAGCCCCCCCAGCTGAGTGTAAGCAGCAGTGAAGCCTGGCCCGGCTGCCTTGAGGATCAACTGCACTGTAACGGCTTCAAAAATTACAACAACAACAAAAAGGAAAAAAAAAAACCAGATTAAAAAAATAGTTACTTACCGCCTTATAATGTTTTGTATTTTTCTTGGTAGAGAATTTGAAGAAAAAAAAGAAAAAGTTTCAAGATTTTTGTTACAAAAACTCATGGTAATATACTGGGAGCTGTGTCGCTCAATATACATAGTATTTTACTAGACCTGTTTTTTCCTTCTCTTCTCCTTCTCTGTACAATAACTAGATAGAATACAGGAAAAAAAACTCCCTCAAACAAACAGCATGAACTTGTTTCTTCACTGCTAAAAACACAAAAAAAAAACTAGTTTGGGTTCTTGTGAAGTCTTTTGTTGTATTTGCTCTTAGACAACAGCTGTGGTTTAGACTGCATCGTGTCAATTGACAATAATCCCTCCCCTCTTCTCTCCCTCTTCTTCCTCCTACCAAAGCTCCGGGTTGATCTGCTGGTTGTTTTTCACTCTTAGCAGGGCCTCTAGCACTTGTAAAAGCACTGTAGCATTTCCAGGTCGAGTGACGGAGGAGAGACAGACGTGCGACCCGCAGCCGGTCGTCTATTCCACTATCTAATCTTGCTGAGCACAGGAGACGGAGTTGGCGTGTTTTCGGCCACTTCTGCAGCACTTGTGCTCAGATCCTTTCCACTCTTGATACATTCCAGTAAAGCAGACTGGCTGGCACCGTCAGTATCGATCCACTTCTCTATAACTGGACGTTTTTAAATTGACAGAAAAAGGATTTGTCGCTCCCAGAGTCTCTTAACATTCCAGTGGATTCCTAACACGTGGAAACAAGCGGGACGGCATCACGATAACCTAGTGCTTCAGGCTCCTCGTAGGCTCGCAGTGGCGTTTCTGTCGTCTTTTATAGCACTTTGTACTAGCGTGTGGTGTACCAGTGGCGTCCTTAGCTGTCTGAGTATTCCTTGTGAGCAGCACTTCTGTTTCAGTGCTGTAACCGCGCTCTGTGGAGAGTCCAACCTGTGCCCGCTGGTTTTTACCAGAAGGGGGCGCACTTGGGCTGTTCAGAGAGGCTCCGGGCAGATGTAGCACAGCAAAGACGAGGAAAGACGTAAAAACCCCCCTTTTTTCTGATCAGTTTACCTCTCGTGTCATCAATGTGACTCACACGGACCCCTGAGGTCTCGCTCATTATTAATCACTGTGAAAGAAAGAGAGGGGATGTGTGATAAGGCCGTCATGGCGGCCAATGACCCACCACCCTCCCTGAAACCCCAAACCTCCCCCTCCTCTGTTACCCAGAAGGCCACAGAGAAGCATGTCAGAGCAATACTTAACGCCAGGAGGGGGACCGAGAAGAAACCGTAGCCTGCCCTCCTCCTCCTCCCACCACCCTGTCCATCCTTCAATGCCTTTTCGTTTTAAGTCGTGCAAACAGCCACGCGCTGGCTGTCCACAGTGGAGAGCAGGGTACTTCTCATTCTGCAGGGAGTATTCACACATCATGTTTATTGGAGAAAAAAAAAGAAACTCTCGACTCTTTTTTTTTTTATCCATATAAATATACAGGATATGCATTTACAGGCCAAAAGTTTGGAAGCAAGATCAGATCTGTAAAAAAAAAGATCATAGTTTTATAATTTTCAACAAAGTGAACATGATTATTGTGTAAAGAGTAACTTATCAGAAGACGTTTTAGCTACATTCACACTATAATGCACAGTTCGGATTCTTTATTAAATCCGATCTTTTTGTGCCGTCGTTCACATTACAACAACGATCATCTAATGTGAACGGAATGCATCCGTGAAGTGACCCGCATGCGCACAAAGCACAACTTGCTTTCCGCACCCGTTTGTGTTGTCGAAGAATGGTGACGTTTGTTGCGTATAAATGACTTATAAGTTGGATGAACGTGACCTGAGCGTCCACACTGCAGTGACACCGGATACATATCTGATTTATATCCACATACTAAAGAGGCCTGGGTTGGATTAGAAGAAATCAGAATTGCACTGTTCACACTTAGATGAAAAAATCAGATATGAGTCACATACGGTTAAAAAATCAGAATTGACCTTTAGTGTGAACGTAGCCCTTGACTCGAATTATTAGGTATTTCACTTATTGTTGATTAGATGTTGCTTTCTTTAGAGTAACCTCCGCTGGCTTTAACAACAGCTTGGCATATATGAGTCATTCTTTTTTTTAAGGTTTTTTTTTTTAAGGTCTGTTCCAGGGATTTCATTCCAAGCTTTAAGTTCATTAAAAAGAGACTGCTGATTCGTGGGACGCGCTTTTCTGACTGATCGATCCGATTCATCCCACACAAGCTCAATTGGAAAAAGGTCTGGAGACTGAGGGGGCCAAACCATCTTTTGAAGAACACCTTCCTCTTCTTTTTTGTCGAGGTAACCCTGACAGAGCTCGGCAGAGTGCTTAGGGTCATTGTCTTGCTGCAAAACAAACTTATGAGCCACAAGTCTGAGTCCAGATGGAGCAGCATGGTGCTGGAGGATGGAGTGGTACTGTTTCTTCTTCATGATTTGTCTTAAGACAAATTTCCTACTCTCATCACCTTCAAAACATCCTTATACCATGGAACTACCACCTCTATGCTGAATTGTGGGTGTAACACATGGTGCTTTTAGACGTTCACCAGTTTGTCTGCTGACATAGACTCTACGTTTTGAACCAAACAGTTCAAACTTGCTTTCATCGGTCCAGAAAACTTGTTTCCAGTCATCAAAGGTCCAATTTTTGTGAGCTTTTGCTCACTCATATCTCTCTTTCTTGTTCTGTGGGTTTGTTGCTGATACACAACCCTTCAGACCAGCCTTTCTCAAACGCCTTTTCACAGTTGTCAGAGATATGGGTTTCGATCTTGTCATGTTGATTTCCTCCCTTTTTTTGTGGTGACGTCTTTCGCCGATCTCTCTTACTGGTGACAATGATAAATCCTCTGCTTTTGTAGTGACTCTGTTTCATCTGTTTTGGCTACCCAAATCTCAGGTTTTCTCTGTTTACATACAAACGAACAAACTGAGTTTTCCAAAATCTCCACTCTCAAGTTTTTTTTAAAAAGCATGGTTTCTCTGTTTGCGTCGAAAAGAAGGGTTAATGTCTCCATTTTTAAAATAACCAGGTACGTATAAACGGGGCCTTAATCTTGTAGGATCATCAGATCTGTAATTAATCAGAAACATTGTCACTTAAGGTTTTAAATGATTAAAAATTGTTAAAATAAACTTAACAGGAGAAAAAATTCAAGTTTTTTCATGTGTATTTGAGCCATTTGAGGCGGTGTGACCTCAGAGATTCAAGATTCATTATGTAAAACCCCCAATCAACCAATTACTCTGATTTTCCTGTTCATCAAACTATAATAAACATAAAAAAGTCCTCCAAAAACACTCCGAAAGAGTCTAAGATGATAAAAACGAAACCTACTTTTCCTCACTGTAAAATCCCACCTACTTCAATTTTTTTAGTTTCACACAAAGCTTTTTACACCTGTTTGCCAGTAGAGGGCGCCATCGCTGTGAGTTTGCGCCACACAGTGCACCCTCTGACCTCCGTGGGGAAAATGGTTTGTAATGTAGTGACCACTTTAAATACCACACATGCACACGGAGAGCTGTGTAATGAGCTCAAAGCTGGGAGAGGGCAGCAACAGAGGAGCAGGTTTAAAATACAGCAGCTCAACACTTAGATTACAGCTGGTAACACTGAGGTAATTATAACACTAACTCCTCATTGGAACATTATATGAATGGGAAACAAACTGCCTGACTACAGAGCAGCAGGCTGTTGGTATTTGCCAAAACAAATCTATAAAACAATCACCACATACTGTTAAACTTGAGACGACTTTACTCCTGTTAGTAATGATGTGATGATCCTCCTCAAAGTTAGAAACGTAAATGAATCCACTTTATGTGCGTTTCAGCTTTGATTAAACATGGTTACACTCCATAAAAAAGGGAACAAATAGACTTACGTAAGGCTTTACTCATGCATGAGTCATGGTGATTAAATTCATGAATTAATGCGGGACGTGACAGAGACGGGTCACCTTGATTTAATGCGAGTGCTTCTGTTAATGGATCATTATTTCAGGAGGACAGACAGATTATTCACAGACTTTAGCCGTAAACCTCCACTCAGCAGAATTTCAGGTAAAATACACGAACTTACTTCGGCTTTTTAAGGTAAAAATGTGAATCTGAATTTAACAAAGTGCCATAAGAGAGTCTGGGTAAGTACATGGATGTGTGATGTACGGTGGCCCTGAAGGGCAGCTGCAGACTCATTTAATCGAAAACAAGATTTTTGGAAACATCAAAACATTTCTAATAAAGCAAACATACTAATCATCAACCTTTTAACCAAAAGAAAAAAAAAGTTTAAACATTTTATGAAACAAAAATATCACAAAATATATTACATCTAAAGATTTCATTGAAAAAAATGTGAGCTTTTTTTTTCAAACAAAAATTTTGCATCAACAGATACATAAAAAAGAACATAAACCCAGCATGATTTTTTTTTAATTTTTTTAAATATTTTGTAATTTTTGAAAAATTTGTGTATATTATGAAATTGTCAGTGTTTCATTTATGAGTTTTTTTTTGTTTTATAAAGTATCTTTCAGTTTCATGGGGGGAAAATTAGGCATTTTGTGAAACATTTTGGAATGTAGTAAAATTTTTTGGGAGAGTGTGAAATGTTGCCTTCTATAAAACATTTCTGTATTATGTGGATTGTTACATGTTATGACACTATTATTAATATTAGTCGTAGTATCTTTATTTTGATTTTTGTGCATTGATTTGATATTTTTTAAAGTAAATTAAAAAATTTAAAAACTGCAAATTAAAAAATGCAAAAAAAAAGATGTCACAACGGAATTTACTGGTGCAAAAAAAAGAGCGAGAAACTGAAGCTCGCTGTAAATAAAAAAAGAAACAGTGCAGATTTTTTTTAAAAAAAAAGGCGCAACGGAAGGTAAAAACGCAAAACAAAACAAAAAATGGTGATGGGAAAAAAAAGTTACAACGTTTTTTTTTGCATCACCCACTTTTTTTTTTCATTCTTTTTTTATTTGCAGCAGTGGCAGTTCTCGGCCACCATAAATAGCCATAGACTGTATATGTTAATAATCCTGATACTTCCACAAAGACAATGAGACTTGATTTAATGTAAATGTGTTCATCAGAAAAAATATATTTAACACTAAAGCACACTTTAAAAAAAATCACTGACACTAAATTAGAATGGAAGAACACAGGTTAAATAAATTCAGCTAAGAATCTGAATAACTTCAGAGTTTTTACTTATTCATGTTTTTCATTAAGGGGTTAAAAAAAACTACCAAACCCAAATTTTAGAGAAATGAATCAGCTTCCTTTTTGAGCAGGATCTGGTTCGTGAGCTGATATTGGACTCTCAGGGGGCTGGGTGTCACTGAGGGGGGCGGTGCACATCTCCGGCAGACCCCTCCCGCCCCCCTCACACACTGTGACCAGCATCCAGACAGTCAGACAGGCAGGCTGCCTCCTCACTACGACCATCGCAGCTACAGCAGCGGCTCATGCCTCCACCTGCACCGGTATAAACACCCGTCCGTCCCTCCATCCATCCATCCACACCTCTGATTCTCCACCCGCTCTGTGCAGCAGCTGCAGCCGTGGAGCTGGAAGCCTGAAGCGTCCGGGAGAAGATGCTGGAAAACGGCAGGAAGGTGTTCAAAGAGGGTCTGCTGGAGAAGAGGAGCGACGGGCTGCTGCAGCTCTGGAAGAAGAAGCACTGCGTCCTGACCGAGGACGGCGTGCTGCTGCTGCCGCCCAAACAGCACGACCCCCCGCAGCACCACCACCACCACGGGGACGCGGGCAAAGTCAAGGAGCTGCACTTCGCCAACATGAAGACGGTGGACTGCGTGGAGCGGAAGGGAAAGTACGTGTACTTCACGGTGGTCATGACGGAGGGGAAGGAGATCGACTTCAGGTGCCCGCAGGACGAGGGCTGGAACGCGGAGATCACCTTGCAGATGGTCCAGTACAAGAACCGGCAGGCGATCCTGGCCGTCAAGTCCACCCGGCAGAAGCAGCAGCTGCTCGTGGTGCAGATGCCCGGGCAGAAGACGGTCCGCAGCGCGCCGAACGTTGCGTGACCTGCGGCGAGTCCCGCGGACGTTGGTGCGCCATTAGCGGTAAGACAGCACGAGAGAAAGCGTGATTGAGGAGGGGGTCCCCAGGTCCGGGGACCACCTGGGGATCCCCTCGCATATTAAAGGACCCGTGTTTTTTTTTTTCTCTGGTTTTGTTTTAACCCCCCTGGATATTTGCGCCCTAAAAGAGGACGTCTGTTTCCACCATCACGTTCAGTCAAACCCTGAGTGATTCTTCTTCTTCTACCTGAAGGGACAAAATGTGGATTTATCCTGAAAAAAAAACAGAAAAGTTTGGGACCCTGCCTCTGTGTGTGTCCCCCCCACTCATGGAGGTGAAATCATACCGGATATATCCATCCTCAGGCAGGTTTGACATTTCCACACGGAGGGCTCCCCCCTCATCAAAAATAGATGCACAGAGATTGGCAGATGTAGAATAACTACGACTGGTTAGAAAATGTGATAATTTTTGCAATAATTTTTAACAAATGGAAACAATTTTCTCATATAATCCATTTGGAGTCACAGTAAATAAACACAAAAGGGAAAAATACGCATGAAGGACTGACACAATGAGCACCAAAATACATTATATCCCTGGAAATAATAACTTCATTTGTATAGCACTTTTAACAACAGAAGTTACAAAGTGCTTTGATATATAGTTATAGAGCACACAGATGAAAACAAAAAGCTCATTTAAAACAGAATTAAAGGCCATTTTCATGTCATACAAGAACCTAAAATGAGACCATGAGGACCAAAATAAAAATAGTTAAGAAAGAAAGGGTCGAAAGCAGAGACAGGATAGTAAATATAAAAGACAATATCAACAATGATAATAATAGTAATGATAAAATAGAGCAAACAATAAAAGGTGTAAAGGGTTAATTAAGAAAAGAGTACAAGTAGTACAAAAGCTAAAAGACAGTAAAGCAGAAATAAAAGATAAGATAAATCAGATTATTTTCATTTTTTCCACAAATATCTCCAAAATCAAACCCGATCCTGTCATCTGTGCTCCAGCCCAGAGTGGTTTATCACTCAGACGTGTGTAAGTCAGTGAAATCCGCTGCTTTGTGTACATTTGGACGACAGATTTCAGTGCACATGGCTCTCTGTGGCACGTGTTGATTTGTTTTCACGCTGAAAACCCAGATATAGGACAAAGAGCTGATGATTCATTACAATACAACTCAGTGTTTGTGGAACAAAAAGAGGATGAGCGTCCAAATCTGGTGGAAACACAACAGGAACACGGAATATGACTGTTACTCTAAGAAGCACAAATTTAAGGTTCAAACTTGGAGAAGGAATGGCTTTGTCTTTCATTTCATTTATCTGATTTTATGCTTGGAAACTATTTTAAGATCATAAAAGTTTAATTTTACCCTCAAACTTTTAATTTAAAGCTCCTGTGAGGACTTTTTGAGAAGCTGAAGTTAATGCATCATTTTCACTTCTGCATGTGCAGGGACGAGAGGGACAACTGGGAACACATTTATTCCTCTGAATCTCCTTATTAGCTGATTAACCTGCAAAAATCTTCAGTTTTTTAACAATGTACGTCCAGAATCTGCTCCAAAATGTCCAAATTTGAACTTTAGCTTAGTTAGCATCGTAGCTAACAGACTGCAAACTAGCTAACGGGCGGTTTCTTACTATGTAAATGTTTACGTTGACTGCGCACTGAGGTTTTATGATAAATAAGTAAATTTGTATCATGTTTTAACACATCCTATATCCGGCCAGTGCTGCCCACTGAGCATTTTTTGGTCTAAAAGAGGTCTAACAGACGTCTAAATGTAGCCTAGACGACTGGTCTAAAATCAGGCTACCACAGGTCTAAAAATTAAAGTTTGTAGACGTCTAAATTTAGACTAAGTTTAGACTAGCCGGCTAACAGAGGTAAACACTGTATATTGCTTAACGGCTATTATGATTATTTTGGTTAAGTATTTGGAGATCGGAAATAATCGGTCAAAGTGCAACGTCTAAATTCTGTCCAAAAATATACAGAATCTAGACGGTTGAAGTTAGGTTTAAAAAAAAAAACTAGACGTCTAATAGGCGTCTGTTGCTCAGTGGGTATTCTACTAAAGTGCAGTTTTATTGGTTATACATCCCAATTATTTCCATCAGTTTGAGAGTCCAAATTAGACATTTATTGATTATGCTCACATTTAAGCCGAAACAAGACGTTATATTGGTACATTTATCTCTCTATGAAGCTTCCACCGCAGTACAGGCACCAAATGAGAAGATTAAAAGCACTAGAAGGTTCTTCTCTTGACATTTTACTCTGCGAATGTCCAAGATGAGAAAGCAGGATGAGAGTTTGCGTCAGAAATAAAAATTTTACAACATATAGGACAAAATCAGCCAAGGTCAGACTTTTAAAGGTACAATTTTTCCTAATGGCAAGGTGGAAGACAGCGCTGTCACAGATGTCTGTCCTGCACTCCAGTTGAATTTGGGGAAATGACTCAAGTCTAAATATTTTGCGTAACTGTTACCTTTCTGCTTGTGTTAGATTGCACAGGCTGATGGATTGAAAGGCTCTTCTAGTATTCCTAATGTCGCCATCATTGGGCTTGTTGCCATGGAGATTCCAGATACTATCTGCTGTTTTGCACAGACCCCCCCAAAATACCCTGAAGCTGGGGGTAAGGTCCCTTTGTGAGTGGATGCACTCTGCCAACCCAAATTTCTAACCTGCCTGAAATTCATCCAGCTGGTGTGGATCAGCTGATCGCGTCTCGAACCCGTAAAATTAGCCCTAAATTGTGTCCAAATCGGCCTCAGTTAGCGTAATAATGTGCAACACAAATAGAAAATTCCTCACAGGAGCTTTAACTCTCCAGTCTCTGGTCAGATGTCTTTGTTTCTGTGACTGAGCTGTGTCCGGGGTTTGACTCTGTTGAAATGAAATGAAGTGAGCAGCCTGAGGAGGTCCCTGTAATGACTGACCGTGTTTCTACTGACTCAGATTACCTTTGCCTTCAGTGTCGGGCCCATCAGTCTGCAGCCTGTCTAATTGATTGCATCCGCAGGTTAATTGGACACTCAGCTGGAGGACGAATATCGAGCCGGGCTGAACCTCCTCCTCCACCACCTCCACCTCCTCTCTTCAGGAGCCTCCCCTCTTCCATGTAGTGGTTTCCACTGACCAGCGCCCCCTTCCTCCTTTTTCAATACAGAGACTTCTTTCACAAAGACTGATGGACTAAAAGCATGTGAGAAAACACCTGTATGCTACCGTGCGATGGGTTTATCGCTTATTTATTATACCTGTACATACATTTTCTAAAATCTCAAATGTTGAATTGTTGGTGAATGTTCAGTGTGGTTGTTGCTCGAGTGGAACAGGAAACACTCATGTGGAGGTTGTTTGTTGAAGAGCTTGCAGACAGTATCGTTATCTGAGGATGAATTCTTGTCAGTCAGATCATGTGAAACGTCTCATCGTCCATATTTTCATTTTCAGACTGAACCAAAGACTCATTTCCCGACGCTTTGACCCACTGCAGTGTTACGGCTCAGATTATAAAACTGTACAGATCGACAGTATGATGAGTTACCTGCATGATCTCTGCTCTGTTTGATCATTGCGCTTATTAATAGCTGCGGCGCTTCTGTCATTGTGATCATCGATGATTTTCTGTTTGATTTTCTTTGGTTGTGATCGCTGTGAGCTATCTACTTCTTTCTTATAAGTCTTAAATCTTAGCGAGAGACCTTCGTGTTACCGACTGTTTGATTTCAGCTGCTATTTCTCAAATAGGCATATTACGATTATTGACTAGAGTTAAAGATGGACGACCTGCATCCACTTTCTCCAAACATTGAAAGGTGAAGCCAAAATACCCCCACAACTGGTGCCGATATCTTGCGTATTTGACGTCAGAATCTGTCAGAGAACCCATGTCTCATCTGTTTCCATGGAGGGGACGGGCTTTAAAACCTTCAGCCATGTCAGTTTTGTTGAGCTGTCATCGTCGAGCCATCGTTTTAAACAGTCAATGATTAGAACATTTATTGTTAGGTGGCGGCCTCTAGTGGTTTTATCAGTAATGACAGGAGCCAATCAAGACAAGAAGGCGAGGAAGCGTTACCCGCTGTAGGTACCAGATGTGTTCGGGTTGCCAGATCGGCTCGGGGCCACGCGCTTGTTGATGACCTCACGCTATATGATTGGCTGGAGGTTGTTTCACATGACATACGGACGTAGAATTTTACGAAGCAATCTATCGCTACTTATCCAAGCAGATTTACGACAGCTGGACTAGCGCCTCTTTTAGGTCGCCAAAAGAAATGGGGAATAAAAACAAAACTATCTATTGATAAACGGAGATTCTGCGTGAATCTTATTTCCTTTAGAAAAGTTAACAAACACAATTAAAAACAATTCTCTGTATTATATGGAGAGAAAGTTTGGAGGTCAATTGAATGAACAAGCAGAAGTAAAGAAAACGTCGTAGTTGCCGTAGTGTGGCGTCTTGAACAGGCGCTGGACCCCGAGCCGATCTGGTACCTACACCCAAACGCCAACACGAGCCCTGGGTAACATCTCTTTTTTCCCCCCATAAGAATTGACTTTTGACCTCACCAGTCACATTAACCCGTTTGACGCCAGGTCGTGGTCATTTTCAGTTTCATACGGACGTATTTGTTGTTTTGAGGCGTCATTGGCAGTCGACTGAATCCAGCATTTCAGTCGGTCAGTATGTTCACATGAACCGACAAGTCAAGTTATTATAACGGATCTGGACCTACATGAGATCCAGAGAAAACCAATCTCAGTTGCGGTTCCAGGACTTCTTGGACTTCTGCCTTTGCCGTTTTAAAATCTCCTGAAAATCTGAGCTGCTTCTCTGGCGATCTGAGGATGAGGTTAAACCTACGAGTTGGCGTGATGATTGTTGGCGGCTTTCTGTGAGCTCCAGAAGTTTGCAGACAGATCCAGACGTACATAAGCACAAAGCGATGTGGATCATTTCTGTAGTCCACTTCGGTTTAGATCTGCTTAAAGTTTGTCGTTTGAGAATCAAGTTCAGAGCTGAAGATGCATTTTTTGTTATTTTGCAAAAACACTTCTGTGGCGTTGTTTTGGCGAAGAGTAAATTCAGGTTTCCCATTTTTCTACGCTGAGGTGTGACAGACCTCGTGAGTATTTTGGCCTCTGTTGCAGCTCCAAATTTGAGGAAGTGTCAGAAAAAATTACGTCTCTTTCACCCTGATACGTCAGAAGAATCCCTCGTACAAAGAAGCGACTGAACTGTGCGATTGCTGCGAAACATCTAAAGGTTCAGAAACAGCCTCGGCATTGTGGCGTTCGTTATGAGGGATGTCTCGCTGTCTGAAAACATTTTATTCCTCTCTGGTTCACGCTGTTTCTCGTTGTCTGGAAGTGCTTCTCGCTCTTTTCCTCCTGCCAGTGTATCGCAGCCATCCAACACATGCCTCAGTGTTGTTGTCATCTCCCACACAGGGTAATAGCTGTGCCCTTTATCTAATGCGACTGGTGTGATGCTTCTCTGACATGCCTGCCTGTTGCCATCATTACACACACAGTTATAGCTCTGCCCTTGTCCAATTTCTTATTTCAACGTGAGATCTATTTTCATACCTTGAAAAGATACATTCCATTAAAAAAAGGAAAACAAAAACAGCTCCGTCTCTGCCGTGGTTTTTTTCCTTCTCGCCCACACGTGGGTTTCAGAGCCCTGCAGGGTCGGCGGGGTCATTTCAGCGACCTGTTTAACTAGCTGCTGCTCCGTCGGCCTCCTGCCTTTCATGCCCGACAACCACTGAACCTTTCACCTCCTGTTTCCTGCTCTAAAAGTAGCCGCAGCGTGCAGAATTGGGTTTCACTGCCAGTTGTTGCCGCTCAGATAAACTGCCAGCACGTAATGTCAAATGCACGCACGGCTCCGGCTGCTCTCTTGTCTAAAGCCGAGCTAATTCAATTAAACGTGGCGGCGCGTATGACGGCGGACTCTCTGACACATGACAGGCTCAGTGCCGCCGGAGAGGAGAGGAGTGTCAGGAGGCAGATCGACTCAGTGAATATTAAACCTGGACTTCAGAGTCACCTTCCTCTGCAGATACTGTTTTTTATTTTTGACAGAAAACTGAATAAAACCCGAAATTTTGATGCAGAAGTCATGACCTCCAAGATGACTGAATTTACTGTTACTTATGTTTAGGCTAATAAGACGAAAACAAGACACATCCACCAGCTGAGGTTCAGAGTGACTCAGTCTTCTTTTTTCAGCAGAGCGTAAAGTGAAAACACGTCTGAGGTCCGTCTTAACGTGACCAGGTTAACTCCTGTAAGAGGAGAAAGGATCAGACTGAGTTACAGCCTTCCTGGTTGTTGACACCCGTCAAACACGGCGGCGAGTCTCTTTGAACTCCAGCAGCTGCTCGCTCTTCAGACCTTACATAAGAATCCTCTGAGGGTCCGTCTTGGCGTGTAGTCTGACCGCAGACTTATTCCTCACATCTTCATCTCTCTGCGATCAGGAGGAAGAGGTAAGAACCCGTGAAGTAAGAGTGTGTCACCGCTGAAGAGCTTTTAATGCGGCAGGATGTCGGCTCAGATTGTTTTCAAACCACCGTCGTGACTTGAAGTGATGACACATTTTGAAAACAACAGACAGCTGATGAGTGAAAAAGAAAGATGCACTTTGTCAAACAAAACATCACTAAAGTACCTCAGGTTTGATGATAGTTCCAAGAGCGAAGCATACAGGTGCAGATCAGACTGACGACCTGTGGATGACACGAGTAAATCTTCAACAGGTGGAAACTGTCAGCAGGTCAAAAAAGTCTTTTTTTTTTTTTTTTTTAGCTTAATTTGAGCCACAAACATTCAATAGTCCTGAAAAATTAAACCTGAATTGAGTAAATTTGGCTCAAATTTAGTTGAATGAGACATTTGTACCTAAAATAAGACAAAAAAACTTCCTTAGATTTGAGTTTCTGCAGAGTTCGGGACGTCCTGAGTTTGACATGCTGGACAACAGCTTTAAACGTTCAATAAACAGACAATATATGAGTTAGATGAAGAAAAAGAGAAACAGGTGATCACTGGACATGAGAGAGTCGTCAAAATCATCTTTAGTTCATCCGCTCTTTGTGTGTAACAGTGTTAACCTTTAAAAAAGCAACAAAATTCACACTTTTTCACCAAACAGACACTTTTAACCACCTCCTACCTTAAAGTCAGGGTTTAAGATCAAACTGGTGCAGCAGTGAAACGTTTATTTCATAATAAATCTTAAAGCCAGGATCATAACAGGATCATAGATTGAGTGATCAGGGTTTGAAACTGTTCAAACATGCTAAATAACAGAATTTTAACATACAGTTAGACATGCGAGTACATGTGATTGACGGCTGATGTGCAGCAAATAATCAGGATTTTCTGTTTCAGAAAATAGGAAACACAATTAGTCTGAAAAACAAATAAAAAAGTCTGGAAACAGAAAAATTAGGCTGAAATATAAGGAAGAAAAAAGTCCGAAGAACAGAACAGAAAAAAATTACACTCAAAAACAGTTTTGTTTTTGTTATTTTATTTTTTAAATTATTATTATTATTATTATTATTATCGTTGTTGTTGATTTATTTATTTTTCTATTTTTTTTGTAAATACAATACACCTACATTTTCACAGCCCTGGTTAAAAAAAGAAATAAAAAAGGTACTTTTTGAAAAATGATCCACATTTCTGTCCAGCAGCCTCACCGCATCGTGGATGGTCGGTCAGACGGATGGATGGATGGATGGCAGGCTAGTTACATCAGCTGTGGTTGATCTGGGTGACAACAGGCCATCATGATGAAGTTATGCCAACAGACAAGCCTCCTCCTCCTCCTCCTCCGAGCCTCTGTGTGTGTGTGTGTGTGTGTGTGTGTGTCCTGCTCCTCTCTGGACACTTCACATGAATGTTTGAATCAAATCCCCTCTGACTTCTCTCTCTCTCTCTCTCTCTCTCTCTCTCTCTCTCTCTCTCTCTCTCTCCTTCCCTCTGGCATCTCCTCACTCACAAACACATCACCTCTGTCTCTCAGACTTTCTTTGATTTTTATTTAATGTTAAAAACTTCAAAATGATTGCCGCAGACCCCCCCCCACCACCTCTCTGGGTGATGTAAGAACATATCCAGTCCTCCCTCATTTGTATGTGCGGCACCGCTCCGCCTGTCAAACGGTGCATGAAAGTTGTCATGCCTTGTTGATTTAATAGCTCTGCATTCATGTGTTTATAAATCCCAGGATATACTAAGTGATCAATAAACTTAGCTGGAGCTATTGTGTCTGATTAGGCTGCATGACAAATATGAGCGCTGCAGTACAAAAGAGCCTCAGAGGATTATTGATCCACGACTGGAAGATGTCAAAGTGCAAAAACTGTTTCTTGGTTTCTACGTAAATGCACCACAGGCCGACCTTAACGTAATGCATTAGGTTGTTTGTTTAGCACTTTGCATCACTAACTACATTTACATGGGCAAAATATCTTGATCTGATTAAAAAATTGAGGGATCAGATAATCCGAATCAACTGTTTATATGGGTGCAAAATCCAATAACCTGATCATGACGTGTGCGGACATGCACCAAGTTTTATTCAGATTAGAAGCATGTGGACATGCAGAGAGTTGTCTAATTTAGCTAAAACAATCAGAAAAAGAGTTGTATTAAAGGGATATTCCAGCGTAAAATTAATTTAGGGTCAAACACACCGTAACACAGAGTTAGACACCCCCTCAAGAGATGAATGCTGCCGACCAATTGCTTCTCTAGTTATACCAACTTTAGTAATGACCGCATGATAGCAACACAGAGAGCCACACGCTCAACCAAAAGTCCACTCTATAGGCACAAATAATGCTCAGAACAGCACCTAACTTCATCAACAGGACATATAGGGTCACAGACATAGTACTAGACACCAAACATCTTTTTAACTTTAACTCATTTCTTTAAGAAAGAGACTCAACACAACTCACCTACTCTCCTCCAGCAGCTGCTAGTTTGTAGTGAGACCTCAGGCCAGCCCATTATGGACTACAGCGGGGTGACACAGCTCAAGGAAGAACATTTATGATCATGACTTTATCATTTCCTCAAAGTAATAATCACCATATTAATCATTTTGCACTGCAGGCGTGGAAGTTCTTCTGCCTTAGCGTCTCGGTCTGATTGTATTTCCATGAAGAAATTGTCATAAATGTTCTTCCTTGAGCTGTGTCACCCTGCGTCACAAACAAGCGAAAAGACAAACTAAACAAACTAAAGTTGGTATAACTAGAGAAGCAAGCGGTCGGCAACATTCATCTATTGAGGTGGTATGTAACTCGGTGTTTGACCCTAAACTGATTTTACACCAGAATATCCCTTTAATGCCTGTGCTGTCAACAGACCAACAAACGCGGTCGTGGCTCACTTCATCCAATTCAGGAGTTTTCCCCCCTGTTAAATGTCTTCACTAGATGGCGCCGTTACGTACTTATTTTACTGTTCTGTCAAAGGTTGCTCTGTGCGTGCAGATGTGACATCATCACGCTGTTTAAACGCCTTGTTTTGTTTCCGGAGGAGCAGACACGGCGCCTGCGGTTGTGTTACTAATGAAACCTCCTGTACCGGCCTCAATAAATAAGCTAAAGGCTAAAGAGTGGAGACCGAGTCGGGTAAGAGAGTGACGATCGGAATAAGTGTGTAAATGCACGCGTATAACGATACCGTTCGTAATAACGAACGGCATAAACCACCACTCTTGATCGGAATACAATTTCTTTCCGATTGAGCCGAATTGGATCAGAATCTTCCGATCGACATGTTTACATGACGCATTTTTGATCCGATCTGGCCTTTATTCCGGTTATTTGTGCACATGTAAACATGCTACTATCAGGCCTGTGCAGAAAGAGCTGACATGGACCTGGTCTGCATCGTTAGCCCCTTAAGCAGCACACCTAGAAGAGGAGACCTGGATCATGCTGAGTTCCTCCATGCACAGACATCCCTGAAAGACTGCATTGGATTTGTCTTCTTTATTTTGCCACAACTTGGAGGATTTGCACAGTTTTCATCCTGCTGAATCAGATCCTAAACTGTCTGCAGTGTGGGAGTAGCGAGCCAAAGCCAGGGGGAGGGAACCGGGGAGGCAGCAACAACCAGCAGCTTTGCAAGACTTCACGATGTGGGCGATTAAAGAGGCATATTGTGCAGAAACAGGTGAGTCAAATCTGTTCTTGTGTTGACAGGACAGGAGAAGACAAGAGCAGGAATACTGTCATATTACGGTGGCCAAATAGGGTCAGTTTTTAGCTTACAACAATGAGTGGAAAGTGCTCTGTTTGGTGTTTTAAATCTATAATGTTTTAAGGATGTGTCGTGTCAAGCTTTAGAATTCATGAGTCGTGTCTATTTACAGATGGGGGATTAGCTTTGAGTCCTCATTAAGGGTGGTACCTTACAAGTTAAATCCAGTTTTTACTCTTATCCTTATTTTTGTCTCCACGAACAAATAAAACAATAAAAGTCTCAGATTTAATGATCACAAGCAACTTTTTTTACTCTTCCCATCTGCTGTTTGGTGCAGAGCAGGTAACAGACTGTCTTTAATTGGAGAAAAATTCAAAGCTGCTGCAGAAACA